TTGATGATAGATTAATTTTTTTTTTAAACTTATATAATTGATGATAGATTAAGATTGATTGAAAGCGTAAGGGAAGATAATTAAGATTGAGAGAATCAAATTTCTTTCATTATAATATATATATGCATCTGCCATTCAAACCTAATATTGTTTCCTCTCTCTCTCTATATATATAGAGAGAGAGAGGAAACAGTATTAGGTTTGAACGGCAGATGCGTCTCTCTCTCTCTATATATAGAGAGAGAGGAAATAATATTAGGTTTGAACGGCAGATGCGTAGATATATATCTCTCTATATAGAGAGAGAGAGGAAATAATATTAGGTTTGAACGGCAGATGCGTAGATATATATATATAGAGAGAGAGGAAACAATATTAAGTTTGAACGGCAGATGCGTAGAGAGAGAGAGAGAGAGAACACTTTTTGGCGTGATTTATGGCTTCATGTTTGCCACTGTCATTATAAGTCAACATCTACTCAGGGTTACTATCGTTGTAGTCATTTCGCACCAAGCATTCACTTTCCTTGCACAATCATGGAACTGATCTTTCTTCTTCAGCTTCTCTCATATCTTTTCCTTCTTTCCCTCTGTACTTATCTTTACCTCTTCTCCACCTCAAAAAAGAAACCGATCAACAAAGGCTTCAAAAGCTACCCTATTGTTGGGGCATTACCTGAATTCTTGAGAAACCATCATCGTTACCTCGACTGGATCACCGAAATCGTCATTGACAGCCCTGGCAATACTGCTGTCTTTCACTTTCCGGGAAACATCCACGGTGTCTTCACGGCGAATTCTTCGAATGTTGAATACGTTCTGAAAACCAACTTCGAGAACTATCCGAAAGGCGACGAGTTTGTTTCGTATCCTGAAGACAATTCTTATGAACTTGGACCATATATGACTAATTTAAAAAAGGCTAATTTGATTTATATATATCTATTAACAAAATAATTAATAATATTAGCATAAAATGCTGTGTTTGAATAATTGGACAATTCTTTCAAAATATTATTTAACTTATTTTTTATATGATAAAATTTGATTTTAGAATATGAAAAATAGTAAATGACAAATAATCAGTATTATGTGCGAAGATATATAGCTAATTTCTAATAAAACAAATGATTTAAACATATATATAAACACATTATCATCGTATCCAATAGATTAAGAGTTTATAGCATAAACCAAAAAACATTGAAAAAAACAACAAAATAAATTATAAGAAATATATTAAAGTTAAAAAATAAAAATAAAAACAACCAAAAAATTGATATATATATATATATATATAACTACACTATTCTTATTTAATAATCATAAGAATCCATGATAATAATATACTTAAAAAAAGATAAAATAATCATACTCTAATTTTTTTTCAAAATCTACATATATAAAAATGTATCGTAAATTAATAACACTAGTAAAATGTATTATGGATTATAATAATAATTGTGAATAATGAAGATGTGGATTAAAATAATAATTATGAAAATATTGGGGGACCAAAATGTAATATTTTTCTATAATTTGAATATAATTGCAATGAATCTAAGATGAAAAAACGGTAAAAAATGATGATGAATGATCTAAGGGTCTAGAGGAGTGAATAGCGAAGATGGATGTGTAACTGCGAATACTAAATCCCTCGTATCTTTTAGTTTTTTTTACAATTATAATATATACTGTTGCAATTGAGCTGCAAATAACTCAATATAATGCGCCAAGGAAGCATAGCCACATGATCGCATCAGTGCGGTAGCCCTGATTCCTATCAAGTCGTTGCACTTGCACCAACATTACGAGTTGGAGGACAGGACCATGGGAGACATGATGTAATTTTTTTATTTTATTTTGTGAACAAAAAAATTAACGCAGTTTAATGAAAAATTTTGTTCTCATTTTATTATAATTTGATAATTTCAAGCTCTTAGTATCTAATTATATAATTTGAACTCTAAATTATTAGTTTTAGGTAAAATAAATTCAATTTTTTTAATTATCGTTACATAATGATCAACTAGGTTAACCGTTATTTGAAATGTAAAAATGTCATCATTTTGATATTTTGCTATTAATTATATTTTTTAAAAAATATTTTTAACCCCCTGAATCTTGATTTTTTTTAAAAAATTTTTTTTATAAAATTTTATAAATTACATAAAAAAAACATTTTATAAATATTTTAAATCCCCTAATTTGATTTTTTTATAAAATATTATATTTTTTTATATATAATTTATAAAACTATGAGGGTCAACACTTAATTATGCTCATTTTAATTTATAAATTTTTTTTAAGGCCTAATATTTAAAATTTTATAAATTATAAATTATAAACAAATTATAAAATATTTATAATATTTTATTAAAAAATTCAAAATTACAGGAGTTAAAAATATTTATAAAATATTTTTTATATAATTTATAATATTTTATAGGAAAAAAGTTTTTTTTTTAAAAAAAAAGTTCAAGATTAGGGGTTAAAAAATTTATTTATGTTTTTAAATATAATTAATAACGGAATGTCAAAATAATCTCGTTATAATGATAATTAAAAAATTAGATTAATTTTGTTTAAAACTAATAATTTGAAGTTTAAATTACATAATTTGATACTAAAAATTTGAAATTATCAAATCGTAATAAAATATGAACAAAATTTGCCATTAATCGAATTAACACATACGTTACAGGTAATGTCACGTGTCTCATATTTATACATATATAAAAAGTCTCCACTACAACTATATTATTGAAATCAATATAGCTTTATATATCTACATCATATGATTTGAGTTCTACGAAATAATTAAAATTTATCCTATTCGCGAATGTTGAGCGACTAATTAAGGTACTCGAAAAGGAATCCGCATAATCCATCCATTTTCATTTCTAATTCCACTCGCAAGTTCCGTGGATCTGAAAATTTGAAGCAATCCAGATACAAATAATGCCCGCGAGCAAGTTGTGAAAGCCAAAAATGAAAAAGAAAAGAAAAGAAGGTTAAGTGTAATATTTGTAATTAAAGTCATTTTATTAAAATATGGGTAGTTTAGAAAATATTCAAAAGTTAAAAAGAATAAAGCTTTAGCTTGTAAACGTACCATGTTTTATTTTTTTAGACACAAAAAATTTTAAGCATTGGAGAGAAGAAGAGGAGGATCAAGAAGATGATTGAACTAGGATCAAATCTTTGTCTCTCGATCAATTTTAAGGTGAGTTTTCACTCTCTCTATCTTTAAATTAAGTTCCCGCATGTCTATTAGGATGCTAAAAATAGGTTGTAATTAGGATCCTCCAAATGATTTCAGAATCAGCAAATAAAAATATCGAAGTTATTATAAAAAACCTCGATCAATTAGAATTTTTTGTTCTATGCGGCTAAATTAGATAGTATCTTAACGTAATGAAAAGAAATAGCACTAGAAGATTAGGGCTCCGTTTTTTAGCGGAAAATAATTTTCAGTAGGAAAATCAATTTTGAGGAAGCTATTTTTTAGAAAGTTGTTTTCCAAAAAATATTTTCCAACGTTTGACGAGTTGAATGAAAAAAATGTTGGAAAACATTTTCCAGCGTTTGTTTGATACGAAAACGAAAATACAAAAACGAGTCGTAGTTGTTATATCAACAAATTTTGAAAGAATTTTAACAAGACATATTGACAATTTTATAAACTTAAACTAATAAATAATAATGTGATATTTTGTAGAATTAATTTCAACAAGGCATACAAAAACTATTTGAACTTTTTTTAACATGTTCCTATCGATATTTATTAGTAGAATTAATTTTTTTTTTTAGAATGAGAAAAAAATAAAGTTAATCTTGTTGAACTTTTTTATATTAAAATTTATAAACTTAAACTAATAAATAATAATGTGATATTTTGTAATTGAAATAACACTACTTGTAAAACATAAAAAATATAATATAATTAGTTATAAAAAAGGTTATATAATAAAATTATAATGAAAAACTTGGTTGGATAAATAAAATACAAAGCTCTTTCCATTCTATCAATTTGTCTCCCAATAAGTCATACATTCAGTCAAGAAGTAAAACATAAATAAATATATTGATAGTGCTTTAAAATCGCGAGTCACTTTGTACAACATAATCATTTCACATATCTAATGCAATGACATCTCTTTTCACTAACCATTCCCTATTCTCTTCCCTTTCTTTGACTTAAACGGGTTCTATCCACAATCGTGGATTGGCTTGATGTGGTAATTTCTTCCATAACATAATCATCGTGGTCAACTCCTATTATATGATTATGAATGATACAACTTGCAAGCACGATATTCACTGAGTGTTGTAGGACCAAAATGGTCGAGCATCAATACACCAAAATCTTTTCTTTAGTATACCGAAACCATGTTCAATTGTTGTTCGCAAAGAAGAATGATGAAGATTAAATAACTCCTTTACATTTTCGAGTGGATGGTCGATAAACTTGTTTAAATGGTATCGAACACCACGATATGGAGTTATCACTCCATTTCGGGTTCCATAACCGATATCACAAAGATAATATTTACCTACAAATTTTATGAAATATACCACCAATAAATATTTGTATACATGCATAAATATATGAGTAGACAATGTGCATTAAAAATTTTATTTAATACCTTTTGGAATCTTAAGTCCTCCGGATCGTGATAATGCATCGTTTAAGACACCGGAATCGCCTTCCCAACCAGCTAAAATATAAGTAAATTTTAATTCAAAATTGATGGCCGCCAATACATTTTGTGTTGTTTCGCTCTTTTTACCATGAAACTTTTTTTGGAGTTCCACAGTACACGACTTTGAAAAACATGGAACTGTCAACGATTGGCAAAGCAAGTTGTTGCTCATCAAACCTTGTTCCTCTGTTTCTTATCCCCACCATTCTTACTTTGCTCATCATTTGAGTTTTGAACTATCATCTCATCCGTTGTTACCGAATACAACGAATGAATGGAGCATCAATAACAAATGATGCCGAAAGCCACACAACTCGTTTATTCTCAAGACGTAGAAAACGCTCCCCATGAACCGAAGCAAATAGTCCGGGGATATGTGAAATATGACCTTTCAATGTCTTCAATAATGTTCACCAATCTGAGGTCGACTCTCTCCATATTTCGGACGTGCACAATTGTCAAAGTTCGAAAGTGATTTTGTATTCGGTGTAGTAAGTGGAGGCGATGATCAAGCACTCCACCTGTCTTAAATTTGATTTGTCATTGTTATCAATAGGCAAGGATTACGAGATTGTGACATCGGATGTCATCCATTTATTCCCCAAGTCTAAAAGCATGAATAATCCTTGTAGACAAAGCCGGACTAAAAAGTACGGGATCAAATTTTTATATCATGACAGAATCCCTTCGCTCATAGCTCTGCCATAAAAGGTAAAAATAGTTATTACTCCTTCAAACTAGGGAAGTTTGTGTCATAATTTCACTAATGTCTTTGATCTCATTTTCCTAGTCGTTTTCAATGTTGTTACTAAATATTTGCTAAGGACTCATCTCCTCGTTAGTTGTCGGTGATTTATTGAACACCATAATGATTGGCTAGTCCGTGTTTTTACATGGGTATAGAAGGATTCGTAGTTTCTTTCCTTTCCGTAAAATCTTGATTTGTATATTCTAATAACGATATTTGTATATTCGATAATAGTATTGTTTTGGCGGGACAAATATGAACCAAATGAAAATTTTGAGCAAGGTCTTTTGTAGATATGAAGTCTTGAATGCATCCGTTGTGACGACTAACCGATTGAAATTGGTTTTATTTTATGAAGGTCTTTGGACGGATGGCTTGTGGGTGTTTTCCATCGGTCTTGATCGGCACATCGGATGTTGGCTTCTTCGGGATGATTATTAATTAACCGAGCAAGCTCATCTTATCATTAGTGTTCCAGAGCCGAAGCACTCGCATGCGAGAGCCTTTGGCGAGTGAGCATTGCTAGTGATGTGCATCACAGCTATCGGCATAAATATTTCGTAGTTATAATTCGATTTATAATGTGATTTTTCTACGTGTTTGTCTTATTCGGGAACCACTATGAAATTGTCGTGGCTGGAAGAGGAATGCAAATGGTTGAGTTCTCTCGCATCTTAGGCCATGCGTGGGAGAGATACGAGTGATTTTTGCAATGGTGTCCCTTCAAACCATAAAATTTTGTACAACGGTACTCGATTGTCTTAGTATCATCGAGTGCGCCCGATAGTCTCCTACTCTCTAATGCTCATTCTTGACATGCCGAACCAGCGAGCAGTCTTCAATACCCAAAAGCACACATTAGGGAACCAATCTTTGAGCAAATGGTTGCTTGCAAAATGAGGTCCGTAGCACTGGTTTACAATTTGCGTCCACCCCCATTAAGAGAATGGCAGCAACAAAATCCCATTGGTCCATGCCATATCAAAACTAAAATTAGGAGCGAGTGTTTATCCGGGTTTTACTTGTGTATCAAACCAGTTTGTTATTTGATATTTGGTCTCATTTTTAAGTTTGGAACTCCTTTGGATACGGTATTTTGAACCATTGAATTCGATAAATTCTTGCAAAAACAAATACTAAAAGCTTATGTTACATGACAAGTATCCTTTGCCGCATTTAGATCTCCAACACTACATTGTATATGTGGTATTTTGAATCATTGAATTTAGTAAAGTCTTGACATCTCCAACAATACATTGTGGTTAAGTTCACTTCCTAGGTACAAAGTCGGTGGCATAAGCCCGGGCATTGTTATTCATAGGGTCGGCAAGATGGTCGGCCAAGTTCTCTATTGGTCCCTTCCGGTCACAATAGCTCGCATAAAGAACCCAAACATGGAGAACATGGCAAGTCTCCCATTCTTGATTTCTTTAACTTTAAGCTCGCAAATGCCTTTGGATCATAGCAAGCCCCGAGGGATCAAAGTCGCCACACGGGTATACGGGGTCGGTGACCTCACCGAGAGGTCCTCCCGCAATGCGGTAACCCTCGACGAGTGCCCGAGAGGAGCACCTAAGTTGCCCATATGGCTAAAATGCTTTGAGCATGGATCGAGCCGGGGTTTCCCAAATAGTCAAGACCACCATCGCTCAAGATTGAGAACCGACCTTGAACCACACCGGCTCGCCAAACTTGGCTCCGTTCCCGGCAAGAAGCTCGGGGAAGACACATCCCAAAGCTCCAAGCATTGACCACCTAGCATGAATAACCTCAAGCTCTCGGTTTTTGGCAAAAGTTTCGGGATCTGCCGACGGCCATGCAGGGTCCCAACCATAGTCATCGGGAAATTCACCAGTCAAGTAAGATGGAGGCTCGCCGGAGAGTGGTCCAAGGTACTTGACACGATCATGACCATACCAAGAGCTCCCGAAGCAGCTGCCTTTCCAAGCAATCTTCCTCATGGAGACTCGCCATTGCCGCTGTGGGTGGTTGATGAAAACTCAATGACTCCATTCAAAGGAACGACTTTGCTCGCGAAAGTGGATGACGGAGTTGTAGTTGCCATGCTTTATGTTTTAAGTAGAGGGTGGAGTGACTCGCTGCTCGTCCTTGTGAGTTTGGCTAGGAGATGATGAATGTGAGATACGAAAGTCACTCTTTTATAGGGTCCGGTAAGGGCCACCATCCTATCCATGTGGGATCTTCCTCTTTCTCCTCATTGGTCGATGAGTTGATTGTAGGCATGCAAAAATCCTACACCACCTCCCCGCCAATTGTGAAGGCTAGGATGGATTTTGCTCAAATAATTGGGAAATATGCACAACCTAATCCAAATTTATCCATATGGTCCTTGCTCGTAAGTTTAATCCCGTAATTTTTTTTTTAAAGTGCGGACCAAACTAGTTTTAATACATATGTACCAAAATGTTGTATGACATGTCAGTCGAGGTTTATATAATAAGAAATAACTTATTGATTATTATTAATTATTTCTTATGTATTATAAAAATTTTTCAATACATTATCTTAAAACTTAGTCTATTCATCCAAGAGTCCAAAATTTATATACATCAAGCTCTATATAAATTGCATGGGGAAATTAGAAAAATTAATCAAGGAGATTTATATATATATATATATATATATATATATATATATATATATATATATATATATATATACAGATTAAAAAAAAGTCAATTAAACACTATACAAGAAGAACAAACTAAATCAAGAAACGATTTACCACTGGTCTTCTTTTATCTCTTTACTCTCCCATGCATTCTTAGTCTCCCTATCTCTTATTTTATGAGTCTTCTTTAAACAATTTCCAAACAAAATTATATTAAATTCAATTATATTAAATTCCAAAAAGTCAAATTAACAAAATCCCATGTTATAGATCCAAACAAAATCAAACCCGATTGTACAAAAGACTCCATGTGTGCAACAAGTGCCAGTGCATAATAGTGCAATATATATATATATGACAACCTTTTCTTCTTGTATATATATGTATAATAATATTAGAGATTGACAATCAATTTATCATGGATTTTTTACTTTCGAGTTAAAAAATCTCACTTGGTGGATTTAATAGTATATTTGGTTCTTGTATTTTAGACTTTTTATTTACATAATTTCTTTGCTATTTTTTTTATTTAGTTGGTCCTTCTATTTTATTTTTTTAAAATGCATTCCATCAGCCACCTTCATTTTAATTTATCTTTAATTCTTAAAAATATTCCCAAAAAAAATTGACACACGTCTGGAAAATTTCAGAATCCATGCCATTTATTAAGAATTAACAATAAATTAAACTAAAAAAACCACATTAAGTTTTTTTTTTTTTAAATAGAAGGACCAACTAAATAAAAAAATAATGAAAAAAAAAAAGAAACCACATTAAAAAAACATATAAAAAAAATACAAGAACCGAATATGCCATTAATCGTTTTCCTTACTATAGTAATTAATGAATGTATAAAGTTATAAACATAATTGGATTAATGAAAAATTTTAAAATGCTCAATAAGTAATTAACTACCAATATTTAGTTTATGGATTCTTTTTGAGAAGAGAAAAAAAAATTAAACCCATTAAAAGTGATAAGAATGTTTCTAGTTAGGTTTAATTTTTTTTTTAATTCTCTCTCATAGTTCTCTCTCTTTCTTATATTTATCTCTCTTCTATAAAGTAATTATCGGCAATTATTTCTTAAATAATATAAAATTTATTTTATTATACAACTATTTTAAAGATAAGTGTGCAATAAAAAAATCATTATTGAAAAAAAAAGTGCCTTCTCCTGAAAAAGAGACATTATTATTCAAAAATGTAGTTTACACAATCACCCACGCTCTCTCATCAAACTCACATGCAAACATTGGATGTTGTTAACGATATGTTGTCAAGCAATCACTACCAAGAAACTCTGTCACAACTCAAAACTAATATTGATTATGAGATAATTATACTATAAATGTACCAACTTTTAGTTTTTTCTCAATTGAGTATATAAATTCTAATGTTTTAATTAATTTTTAATTTTTTTATTGAGTGCACCTATATTTTTAAAACTCGTCAATTAAGTATTTTTATCAAATTTTTATTAATCGATGGCATGTCCGTTATTCTTATAATATCAAATTATAATTTTGTCTTCTTTTTGTTAGAGGAAACTTTCTCAAATTATTCTACCATTCAAAATTTGACCAAAAAAATTTTTAAATATTATTTTTTCTTTCATATTTGTTATTTTTTAAATAAATAATAGAATCATTTGGAAGGGAAAATTCTCTCTAACAAAAAGCGAGAGAAAATAATAATTTAATATTTTAAGAGTAATATATACATTGTCAATCAACGAAAAAATTGATAAAAATACTTAATTGGTAGTTTTAAAAAATCAATATATTTAAACAAAAAAATTAAAATTCATATATTCGATTAAAACAAAATTAATATTGATATAATTATAGTACAAGTATCCCAATTAATTATCTATATATAAATCCCGCCGGTCTTTTTTTATCTATATTTATAGATACCGATATGTTTTTGAATCAATTTTCACATCAATCAAGGTTAAATCTATCATTTTCTAGGTTAAGTTTGTGCTAAAGCATACTTAGTTTTTGGTCGACTACTGAACTTTTATTTAGACCAAATGAGCTAAAACTTGATACTATTAAAAAAATAATTATAGCTAATTATTTATAAATAGTGAGAATTAAATTTTAGTTTGGATCAAATTAAAATAATTTTCTTATCCATTAGAACATATTTTTTGGTGGTACATTCGGCCGCTAGTCTCTCGGTGTGTGTATACATATTGATTGACATTATCTAGTTGTATAGAAAACAAACTACTGAAACTGAAATAAAGTAAGCATCGGAGTCGTGATCTGGGCAGTATCCTGCTTCTGGCCTTCTAGCCATAATTTGACATTGAACCAATCTACGTCCATTTCGTAATCATGATAAAATTTGTTGCCACAGCCAATAAAAAGCGATTAAGCAATTGCACCTTTAAAGGCCTCAAATTTGAATAATGTTGGCATCATTCCTCCTTTGATAGGATGTCATCTTCTCTTTGAGGAGTCCATAAGTCCATCTATAATTTTAATTTGACTTATTATATCTTTAAATTATTCTAAAATATCTATTTAATCCATCTATCAAAATGTAAAATCGTCCAGTCAGTGGAAACTAATGCAATTTTTTAATTATCAAATTACCTCTTTCTTTTCCAAAACTTTTCATACAAAAATCAATTTATAATATTATAAGCAATTCAAAATCATACTTATGACATGTTCAGTAAACACATAAAAAAGGGACAGACCACATGGTTGTTGCGTGTCTTTAAATATTTGGGGGGTAGTAAATTTGATTTTTAAATTCTATATATAGGTCGTGTGCAATTTACGTGCACAATTTTCCCTACTTATGCAACACGTTATAATAAAAAGACCTGTTGCTGATTTGGTTACAGATTGTAGAGGCAATTAAACACATAAGAATATATTCTTTGTTTTATTTGCTGTTTTGTTTATCCAAAAGTGTTTTTTTGAAAAGTATTTTTAAATTTTTTTTTATATCTAATTGCACTTTAAAAAATTGATCAATGAAATTTATTTTCCAATCAAAGAAAAAATTTAGTTTTAGAGGAAAGAAAGTGTTTTTCTGGTTTGAAAGAGCGAAAATTGCTTTTTATAAAGGCTGAAAAACTAAAATGATACAAAGCTCCATTATTCTTATATATATAAATATTAAAATATTAATAAAACAATTTATAATATAATATTATTAAATAATAATAAATTACTAATATATTTATATAAGAAATAAAACATTAAATATATCAATATATAATATATAGAAATATATTTATTTAATATATTAGTGCATATAATGCTTTGATTTAGATAATGTTGCTATAAAATACATTATAATGGCCAAAATGTTAGGTTATACAACAATCACACATTTAAGTCATATAAGTTGTATTATAAAAATAAGATAATATAGAGAAAAAAATTATTTGAACAATTGGGATTCACAGCCGTGGTCCTCCAGTTTCTAACAATTGGGTCATTTGAACACCTGTACTAAAATTTTGGACCTCATTTCAATTAAATTTTCAAGAGATAGATCATTTGGGATAAAATACAAGAGAGGAATGAGGAAGACCATCCCGTCATTTTCAAGTTTGCAAAGCCACTTTTGCTCGAGTGCTAATAGCTGCAACAAGAGATACGTCCAATAGTTTTCTTTCATTATCACGGAAAAAAAATTCTTTTTTAAGTTCCACTCAACGTAGCTGGCTTTGAGCAAAGAATTTTTTTTTAACGTAAGATACCTTAATGAACAAAAGTATATCAAGGGGATGAATGAGTCAATGGTTAGACAAATAAAACGCAGTTGTTAGAGACAATTACATCATATCTTCAATTTTGATTGCTGTACGGGCATGAGAAGTTCTTCCGATCGAGATGGATATAATGAATAAACCAATAATTTTAGGTTTAATGATAAATTTTATTTCCATTCTATTGCAATTTAATAATTTTAGATTTTTAGTATCAAATTGTATAATTTAAATATTAAATTATTAGTTTTTGGATAAAATTGATCTAATTTCTCTAATTATCGCTATATGCAACGGTCAATTGGATTAATTGTTACTTAAAATGCCAAAACAACGGCATTTTTACATTCCACTATTAATTATGTTTTTTTTTAAAAAAAATTAAAAATATTTTTAACCCCCTATTCTTGAACTTCTTTTTAAATTTTTTTTTCATATAAATACTTTATAAATTATATAAAAAACTTTATAAATATTTTTAACCCTCCTAATTTGAACTTGTTTTAAATTTTTTTTATATAATTTATAAAACTAAGGGATCAACCCTTACTTATGCACATTTTAATTTATAAAATATTATAATTTATATTATAAACATTTATAAAAAAAACATAATTAACATCGCACAATTTCAAGCTTTTAAAAATAATATTTTATAAATTAAAATGAGCATAATTAAGAATTGACCACCTAATTTTATAAATTATAAATTATAAAAAAATTTATAAAATGTTTATTATAAAAAAGTTCAAAATTGTG